TTCAGTCTCATTCGTCTTAATGATGTAACCTCTTTCTCTATTTTCAGTGCTTTATTTTTCAAAAGTGTCGGGTATCAATCACTTGAAATGTTTCTTGGATTGCTCATAATTCTTCATTCTTCTCAAATGGGGTTGTTAAACTTTGGAGATTTTACGGTCTTTTTTTCAATATTAAAGCGGTTTGTAGTGGCTTTGTTTATATTACTTTCATTATACTCTTTGTAATTTAGCTAATAGTTAAACATATAGTTTAGTCAAGTTGGTTCTTTTACGTTGTAATGACTATTTTTTAGTGAAATCTAACTCTATTTTTTTGTTTTTTTTTTGTTTTTAATTTGAAACGGTTGTACACACAGGAAAAAAAAACATAAAATTTATTATAGTTATGTAACAAAAATTTGGAAGCTAATGTAAGAGTCTCTAAATATATGTGTATATATATGTAACAATACAATTTTAAAATTTGAAAATTTTCTTAATTTTAAATATTGATGTGAACCAATAGAATTGAAATTTTTAAATCCTATGTAGACACTCTTAGAGGCATATAGATTCAGATTTTATTTGTAATATATTTAGATATTAACGTTGGAAGATCTCACATGAAACTCGTTGCGGCAAGTGATTTTGGTCTCTTTTCCATGTTTTGAGGCTTACTGAATGTATTCTGATTCTGTTTGGTTCAGCTAATTGTTACTTTTGTGGTTCAGGTTGAGTTGCTAAAATCTTGTAAGATATCATGTTATTCCAAAGATTTTCTTCAGATATCTCAGTCTCTTTCGCCTTAATGACGGAACCTCTTTTTTTATTTTTAGTGCTTCATTTTCAGAATTTTCAGGTATCAATCGTTGGACATGTTTCTCGGATTACTTGAAATGATCATTTTTCTCAAATTTGATGGCCAAACTTTAGAGATTTTACAGTCTCTTTTTCAATATTAAAGCGGCATATAGCGGCTTTGTTTATATCTCTTTCATCATATTTTTTTTAATTTAGCTAATAGTTAAACATATACCTCAATCTCTTTCGCCTTAATGACAGAACCTCTTTCTCTATTTTTAGTCTTTCGTTTTTCAAAATTTTCAGGTATCAATCACTTGACATATTTCTCGGATTACTTAAAATTTACATTTTTCTCAAACCCGGTGACCAAGCTTTATTCTATTTTACGGTCTCTTTTTCAATATTAATTCGGCTTGTAGTGGCTTTGTTTATATATTTTTCATCATATTCTTTTTAATTTAGCTAATAATTAAACATATAATTTAGTCAAGTTGGTTCTTAATTTTACGTTATAATGATTCATTTTTTAGTGAAACCTAACTCTATTCTATAAGTGAAACCCAACATTTATATATAATTTATTTATCTTTAATAACTTTTTTTCAAAATATTAGTATTTGGAAACTTTTTAATTTTCAATGTTGAGGTGGACCAATAAAAATTTTATTCATAATTTTTTATTCAGCAATAATATTAGAATTTGTAAGTTTTTTAATTTCTTTATTCAATAATGATATTATAATTTGTAAATTTTCCTTAATTTTGAATACTGATGTGAACCAATAAAATTACGTTTTTAAATCCTATGTGGACACCCTTAGAAGTTTATAGCTTCAACTTTTATATATAAAATGTTATTTATATTTATTTAATATTTGATTTACATAATATACGAATCACATAGAACAAATAAACTATAAAAAATAATTTTGGATGGAATCATGAATTAGGTTTTCATTAAAAAATTAATCAATAATTTAGACATTGATAAGCATCAATGCATGTTTTAAATAACGATAATACTTTACTTCTAATTTGGTTATGGTGGCAAATTGCCTTAATAATTGGATCACACATATTATTAATGATCGAATATAAATTTTAAATTTCTTTTTTGACAATAGATCCAATCAAATTTTCAGTTTAATTTAAAGCAACTAAAAAGCAAAAAAATAACGAATAACATATTAACAAAACTATTTTTTTTTAAATTAATGCTCATTAACTAATCTATGTAAATCTGCATAGATATCTAATATTTGTATTTATATATAAGCAATTATATGGATATACGTATGTAATAATAATAAACGACAAAAATAATTAAGTTAAAAATTATAAAATAAGTATTAAATATTAAAAATATATATAATTTATAATATCAAAATAATTATTTGATTATTTTTATAATAAGTGATAAATAAAGATAAATACATATGGGTGTTTTGTTATATTAATATAATAAAAATAATAAAAATAAATGTAAATTATGTGGATCCCATACGTTTAAAAGAAAACTAGGTGTTTAGTCCACGACTTGCGCGGACCGAAAAATTTCATTAAAACCTAAAATAAAATTTTATGTCATAAATCAAAAATAATTAGATCAAGAATTTGATACATACAAAATTAAAATAAAGCTAATCTATGAAAATAATTATTGTCTAACATTAAAAACTTTAAAATGAATACTAATAAGTGTATGAAATCAATAAACACAAATTTAAATAAGATTAATATAAATTATTCATTTTTTTCTCTTTTTATCTTTTAATTTTTTTTCCTCTATCATTTTCTTCTTTCTTTCTTTTTTGTTTTTTTGTTTTTTTTCTTCTTTATTTTCTATGTTTTTTACTTTACTTTTTATTCTGCTGGTTTTTCTTTCACATCTTCTTCTTCTTCTCCACATCTTTTTCTTTTGCCTCTCATACATCTTTTGATTTTCTTCTCTTCCAGGTTTTATTCCCTTTTTTCTTCTTCTTCAATGTTTATTATTCCATTTCTTCTTCTTTTTTTCTTTTCCTTATTCATTGTCATCGTCTTCTTTGTTATCACTGACTTCCTATTCTTCTGGTGTTTTTTGGCTTTTACCTCATCTTCATATTCCTCTACTTTCTCCAATTCCTCATCTTTTAAGGTTTTCATCCAATTTTTTCTCTTCCATATCTTCTTCTTCTACTTTGTCTTCTAATTTATTTTTTTTTCTCCTTCAACAGATTCTTATTCCTCTTCTTCCAATTATTCTTCCTCTCTCCAAATTCTTCATCATATTTTAAAGATCTTTGTCTTATCTGTCTTTTTACTCCTCTCATGGTTTATATTTTCCTTTTTTTAGTTTTTTCCTTATATTTTTGAGTTCTTTTTTATCGTTATTTGTTTTCAAATTGTTCTTCTTTATTGTTTTCATTTTTTTTACATCTTATTCATCTGATTTGTCTTCGTTTTTTCATCATATTTACCCTTTTCAACTTTGTCTTCTTCATCTTCTAGATTTCTTCCATTTTATTATTTTTTCTTTCACTTCCTCTACTATCTACTGGTTTTCTTTTATGACTTCTTCTTCTGATTATCTTTTTTCTTCTCCAATTGGTCATTTAATTTTTTTTGTTCATCGTCATCGACCTATCCGACTATTTTTTATCTTACTTGTTCACTGTATTATTTTTTGTTCAGATAATCGATGCGTTCTTATTCTTCTCCTTTTCTTTATTTTTTAGCTTTTCTATTCTTTGTTTTTTCCTTCTTATCTTTCATTGTTTTTGACTATTTCTTCTTATGTATTTTATTCATCTTCTTTGACTTCTTGATATTTTTTCTGTTGATTTTTTTTGTTTTATTTGTCTGCCCCTTCTTCTTTGTTTTATTTTATTGTCTTTATATTCTCTAAATTCTTATTCTTTAACATCTTCTATTATTCTTCTTTTGGTTTTATTAGCCGTTTTTATCTTCTGCTTTTTACTTCTTCTTGATCATTTTTGTCCTATCCAAACATTTTTTCTTTCTAATTTTTGTTTGTCTTTTTCGCATCTTTACTTTCTTCTTTTTTATTTTCTTTTTCACCGTCAGATTTTCATCTTCTTATACTTTATTTTCTTCATCTACCATTTTTGTTCTTCTTTTTCTTTCAGTTTTTTTCTTCAACTTTGAGTTCTTCATCTCCTTATTATTTTTCTTCTTCACTATTTTGTGTTACCCATCTTGATCTTATCGTTTATGGTCTAGGATTTTTTGTTCATTTTTTCCTCATTTTTTGACGTTTTCGTTAACTCTATGTTCTTCTATATGTTTCAATTTATCTTTTTTCTCTTCTTTTTCTACTTCGTTTTTCTCTTTTTTCCTTTTTCTGTTTTCTTTTTCGATTTTTTCCTCTGCGTCCTGCTAGTGTATTTGGCTTCTCTTACATTATTCCAAAAATAAACAGAATTCAGAAAGCCATACTTAAAACAAACAAAAAAAAAACTTAAAACCTGTTCATTAGACAATGAAGATGATTTATGATATGTTGACATGGTTTTAATCACATTAAGTAAGGAAGAATAACTGACAACATAAAACAACAACAGATAATTGAAGAACACTACTACTGGTACTGAAAAACGGAAAAAACAATAGAAAAAATCAAAAAATTGATTTATAAAAAATAAAGATGGTAAACAATACAACGAAAAGCCGACCAATGTAGAAACCAAACCACAATTGAGCTTAAGATACATTTAAAAAAATAATATATTTATATATAGCTCTCAACTTAAGCTAAGATTTCCCACATCACATGTATATTTTTTTCCAGATAATCTTCCTCAACAGATAATCCGATTGAAATTATCTTAATATTATCAAAATAACTAAAAGTGGCAGCAAAATTGTTATACAAACTACGAAAATAAATTAATTAATTAAGAAGATTTAAAAAAGATTTTATTAACGAATAAAGGGGAATTAGTTACCTAGATTGAATGAGAGACCTTATAGCGAAAAATTTACTTCGCATATATTATATATGATATGATATTAAATGTTTTTTTGATTAAATTCCAATTTTTAAATTTTTGTTATTTTTTATTTTAAATATTTTTTTGATTAAATTTCGATTTTTAATATTTTATTAAATTTAAATGTTTTTTGATTAAATTTCGATTTTTAACAATTTTTTTTATTAATTTATGATTTTTAATAATTTTTTAATTAATTTATGATTTTTAATAATTTTTTATTAAATTTAATTTTAAAAAATATAAAGAGGGATAAAAGGTAATTAGCCATCCTAAGAATGAATGAGAGAGCTTTAACTCAAAATTTTACTTTACTTATAATATATATGATTTCGTTTTTTCTTAGATAAACAACGTCAAAACAGTGTCAAATTTGAAAAGTGCCTATAATGGATATTAATAACTCAAAAATACTCCAAATAGTAATACACTATATATATATATAGATCTTATAATATTGTTGGAACCAAATCCTACCGTCTCTCAATAATCAAATTGAATACATGCTTGCTCTTAAATTGTAGAAGATTGTATATTTTATATCCTTAATCATTCAGGATACATACCCATTAAACAAAGACATAGAGTCGTTTCTGAAGGACTTACAGAACTTAGGGTTTGACTGGTTTAAACGCAGCGGTTGCGGTTACGAGTGCGGGAGTTTGCGGAAGCGGACGATTTCGATTTTAAGCGTTATTCAGCGGTTTGCATGACTGGTTAAATTTTTTAAAGCGGGTCCGTTTGCGGGACAATTTTGACTGGCAAACTAGCGATTGTTTTAGCGGTTAAACATAAAATTACCAAAATAAACATCATATATAATTATATAAAAAAAACAGAAAAACTATATTACTATGATAAATATCAAAATCAATAGTTTAAAATAATTAATAAATTATAAATAAATACTAAATAATTATTTTAAAAATTAAGAAATTTATAATAATATGTTTTATTTCAATTATTGGGAACATCACCCAAAGTTGTGTCTAATAATGTAATAGACCGGAAAAAAATTTGCTCCAATACATAGATCTTCTGGATTTGTCTTATGCATGATGTAAAATTTTTTCGATTAGATCACGATCCCAACTCCAATCAACTCCAAATTGCTCATTAGTATTCTTCAAAATACGTTCTTTCTGGAGTGCACTAAAAAATCTAGGATATTTGGTTTGATTTTGTTTTTCTACAATGATCCGTTGAAGTAACGCACATGTCATCTCGTTTGATCATGTAATTTTTGAAGAACAAAAAGAAAAAGAATTATAACAAACTAATTTTGTAATTAATAAGATACATATTTAGAATTTTTTACTTTAAATTTAAAAGTGGGAACAGAACCATTAATATAAATAAATTAAACTAAAGTATTATGGCACATATGCTTGTATCTTAATTTTTTTCAACTGATATGAAAGCCATGATTAGATACTAGAACTTGATAGAAAAAGTGAGAGGTTAGGGTTTATATATATAAGAGAAGATTAGTAGGGTTAGGGTTTTATAATTATTTTTAATGTGATTTTTTTTTTAGCGTGATTTATTTATTTTTATTTTTTTTATCCAACCGCTACCGTCCGCAACCGCAAACGCTGGCGGGAAGCAGCTTTTGGATTTCAGCGGTATAAAACGATACAGAGCAGTTTACAGCGATTTCTATGATTGTGATAAAACGCCACTAATCACTACCAACTGCAAATGCAGCGTTTACGAGTGATAGCGGATGAACCAATCAACACCTTAGTAGGTTAGTTTGTACCTTAGGAAAAAACTAATTGGTAACCTTAAATGTCCAGCGAGGGTAATCCTTTTTGGTGAACCATGGCGTGAACTGTTCTGGCAGCTGCTACTGCAGAATCTCCTCGTTTCACTATTATCTCGAGTTTTTCTACCTTCTCTGACAACAATCTTGCATTTGTGGTCGTGGCATGGACCAACTTGTTTGCAGTTTCTAGGGAAGTGCAAAGCTGAAATTGAAGGGAAAGACAGTAAATGATTAGTTTATGTATGTCTCTAGGGAAGCTAAGAATTATTCTACATGCTTTATATATTGGCATCACCGATCATTTATTCATTCAGTTACATGAGTGTAGAACCGATTTTAAAGACAAAATACTTCCATTGAAAGGAACAGAAAAAATCAATGATAATTCAAAATGTTCACAGACGAATTTGTTGATGGCAAGTCCTGAAAATAAAGTTTTCAAATTACCTCCAATGTTAGAGCGGTCCATGAGTGATCAGAACCAGCAAACGCACTGTTTAGTTTATCATAGTTCTCCTGAAACAAAACAAGTTTTTTCTTTTTTATAATTGCGTCGTAAAATAGGCGTACAAGAACTAAGTAAGAAATTACATCCAAATTGAATACTAATCATAGAAACAATGTTGATCAGAGGATAACAAAAGAAGTCAGTAAAATTTCAATTTCAAGAATGAATCACTTATATGGATTAAGGAATATTTCCAGTACAATTTTCATATCCACATTTCAATTTCTAGAACGAATCACAGTACAATTTTTAACTCCACCCTGATTTGGACTCAAATCGTTCTAAATAACCGCTTAGTACGATTGGATTGTCTAAGTAGAACCGAACAAAGCGTAGGAAAAATTCCAAATTAAACTGCAATGGTACATAGAATATGAAGAATAAATGAAACAATTGGTTGATATAACATGCATCAATCATTTCATTATGATGAATGAACAGTGATAGAGATTCTCTGGTTCAGAACCGAAAAAAGTCCATTGTATTCAATATAGGCTTACTCTTGATAAGAGCTATGTTAGAAATTATATCAAAGTCTGCTATAACAAGTCGGTACAATTTCAAAAATGCATCAATGAATGCGCAACGATAGAGAATTCCTGGTACCGAACCGAACAAAGACACCATTGAATTCGTATAAGAATTGACCTGAAAGAGTCGGGTTAGATCCAACGGTCCAGAGATGGGATCAGGGTCGAGTTTCGATGCACTTTCAGGATTTGGAGCGTTTTCCGGTGACTCAAGAATAGTTTCTTCAACGAGATCTGCGAGAAGATCTCCGATTGATAGCAACGGTCCTCCGACTCCTCTCATCCTTTCCCCTCTCTCATTTTTTTTTTTATTTTGACCAAATTCTTTTATTGAAAAGCATGAGAAACAAAAGATACAGGGCCTGGCCCAGAGTTTTGTAGTTTTTGAGCGAAGTAGCCCAAAAATACTAGTTAGTAGTTACACACATGAGGTAAAAATGGATTTGAACCATAGAAAATTAGTTAGATGTTAAATTAGACAGCCCAGTTAAAATCAAACTAAAACCAAACCAAAATCAGAATTGAACCAGAAGTAGAATCAGTTGAAGAGAGAATACCGAACCAACCAACCACCAAAATTAATGATGGAAAAACGGCTAATCTCTACGGAACTATAAAAATTGGTACCAATTCATATCTAAAAAACTTAAGTGTGCAATTCAATACCCGAAATCCTAAATATTGGAAAATACATACCTGGACTAATCTTTTCTCGGCGAATGTCAACATTGACCAAGTATCCATTAATCAATCCTCTTATTCAGTTAACAAAGAGATGTCTCATGCCATGTTGGCTGCCCGTTGTCATGGAAGCATTAAACAATAAATAATTTTAGATATAGTAAATTCAAATTCTGTAGACTTAAAAACATCGCCATATTGGGTAATTTGACCCTAAAATATATAGTTTTCAGTGCTTCAAATTTGTTTTCATATCCACGAAATATGTTTTAAGTCCACAAAATTCAAATTTTCTATGTCAAAAACTACGTCGTTTAAGGTTTCCGTGACAACGGGGCAGTCAACGTGGCACGAGTCATCTCTCAGCCAACAGAATAATAGGGTTGGCTAACGGGTATTTTGTCAATGTTGGCATTCGCCAAGAAAAGATTAGTATAGGTATATATTTTCTAATTTTTATGAGTTTAGGTATGGAATCGCACACTTAAATTTCTCAGGTATGAATCAATACAAATTTTAATAGTTCAGGTAGGGATTAGCCATTAGCACCATAGCAGCGTAATTAGCTACTGGGAGTAGAGCAAGGGTCGATTTTAGGAGGAGGACCCGTGGAACCAGAGCTCCAAGAGATTTGAAGCAAAAACAGGCTGGGTCTGTTTCAGGCTTGAAGCTCTGTTTTTTATGAGGCCTTTGATGGTGGAGATGATGCTTTCACTGGATTTGTAATTGTTGCGGTGAAGACGATGGTTTCTTTCAATCCAGAGGCAATAGATCATCTTTTGCCAAGCTAGGAACTTTAGAGAGATGCCCACTCTGTTCCCTACCAGTGATTTCAGAGAAATCAGCATGTCTTCCCATATTCCATAAGGAGTCAAATTCACTATCCTAGCTATCACTTCCCAGATGCTACAAGCAAAATTACAATTAAAGAACAGATGGGCTTGGGATTCATGAGCTGACGCACAGAGGAGACATGATGGATCAGTTTGGATTCCCCATCCCAGAAGTTTATCCCTTGTAGGACATAGATTACAAACAAAGAGCCAAGCTAAGAACTTATACTTTGTGATTCTTCCAGGAAACCAAACCACTTTCAACTAAGGTACCACAACTCCTCTAATTTTTAGTAGTCTATAAATTTTACTCGTTGCATAAGTAGTTTCTTTTTTTTCTCCTCGGGCCACCACTCGTAGCAATCAGATTAATCTGTAAGACTTACAGTGATTAGGTGTATTCGAACTTGCAGTTGTGGATCTGATCTTACTGATGGGATTCTCCATGAGTTGTTTCTCCATAGGTTGTTCAAAGAGAAGGTAGATCGATACCAAAATGTAATGGACCTGACTGGTTCAAGGAAGTTTTGAACAAACTGTCAGATAAAACTTCTCTCTTGTACCAGGCTACCCAAATCGAGCCACATCATCTTGAAGTTGCAGGCTCTGTTCCAAGTTAGCAGATCCCTCAGCCCTAAACTACCTTCATCTCTCGACTGAGTAACCAATTCCCAAGCAACCCGAGCAGTATGCATTCCCTCTGTTGTGCCCTTCCATAAGAATGCACTACAAAGAGAATTTATCAATGTAATGCATCTTTTTGGAAGAACAAAAGCGCTGCACCAGAAGTTGGTGATGCCTGCGATCAAAAAGTTAAGAAGTTGTAGTCGACCAGCAAAATACAAATGTTTAGCCACACAAGATGACATCCTAGCCTTGATTTTTTGAAGCAGTGGTTCACAGTTGAGCAAGGTAAGATTTTTAATACATAGGGGCACTCCAAAATATCGAATGGGCAAAGATCCATGAGACAGACCAGATGTTGTTTCTAATTGTTGAATTTCTTGCTGTGAGAGACCAGAGGAGAAGAAGGATGTCTTGGAGACACTTAGAGCTAGATCCAAGAGGGATCCAAATTCCTTTAGGATTTGCAAGATATTTTGAACAGATTGAGTGGAGCCTTCAGTGAAACTAAGCAGGTCATCTGCGAAGCATAAAGGGGTTAGTTTTGTGTGTTTTACACTTAGCATGATAACCAAATTTTCCTTCTTCTGCAGCTTTGTTCAGAAGATGAGAGAGCCAATTCATGGATATAACAAAGAGATATGGAGACAGAGGGTCCCCTTGCCACATACCCTTTTTTCTTTGAAGAATCCATTGACAGAGCCATTAAACTCGACAGTGAAGGCAAGAGTACATATACAAGCTTCAAGCCATCAAAGGTAGATTTCTGGCACTTCCAAACTTCTAAGACAAATAAAAATGAACTCCCACCTCACACTGTCAAATGTTTTGGCAATATCCACTTTTATTGTTACTCTTTTGGGTCTTTATTCTTGTGATAACCATTTACAATCTCTGCAGCAAGAATAGTGTTTTCAACTAACAATCTGCCTCTGGTTTGGAAGAATCAGCTCAGGCAATATAGGTTTAAGTCTGGCCACAAGAAGCTTTGAGATGGTGCAGCAAGATATGGGCCTAAAATCAGCAACCAAGGAGGCTCCAGGCTTTTGTAGGGATCATAGTGAGGATTGTGGAGTTTACAGCAGTTGGCAGAAATTAAGTGTTGAAGAAGTGAAGAATCCCAGCAATAGTTTCATTTCCTAAAACAGACCAAGCAGATTTGAAGAAACCAGAGGTAAGGCCATTTGGTCCTGGAGATTTATTTGGATTTAGCTTCTGGATAACTAAGACAATCTCTTGACTGGTAGGGATGGATGCCATAGAGGCTTTGAAGGCTGAGTTGACTCTAAATTCGAACTGTTCGCAGAGCTAGCCTCTCAATTCAAACTTTGTAGATGGTGGTGTCTCTTCAATTAAGAATACATCATCATCATTATAATCATCAACGTTGCTTTTTCTCGTTGAGTGAGTTTGTCGTGTTTCCTGATTGAGGATAGGTGTTTGTTGGCAATTTTGGTTCAGTATTGAGGTAACTTAATTGTACGGTTAAGTTCTGAATTTTGGTTTCATTTTCAGTTTAATTTTAAATTGGCAGATTTACGGTTTATATAAAATTCTGTGTAAACCAAGGGAGTAATTTTTTAATGAGGTTAATAAAAGTTAGAAAATATCGCAACATTATTTTTATTTCAAATTCATTATTTTATTAGATTTTGATGATAGTCTAAATACTATTATTTGTGAGGTCAAAAATCTGATGTGTCGTCTCTATAGCGATTGTCTTACGTGTCATTATTAAAAAAAATCATGTGGCATTTTAATTAGTTCTGATAGGCCGATCATTAATCCAATGTATAAATACCCGTGACATGACTTTTTTCCTCGATTATAGGCCAACGATTTTGTTTATGTGCCACCGATCTGGAAATCGGCCCTAGCCATATAATTTTAATTAGTTCTGATAGGCCGATCATTAATACTACATGTAAATATCTATGACATGGTTTTTCCCTCAATTATGGGCCAACGATTTTGTTTATGTACCACCGATCTCGAAATCGGCCATAACCATTGAATTTAGTTATTAATCCTAAGTGTAAATACCTGTGACATGGTTTTTTACTCTATTATGGGCCAGCAATTTTTTTTATTAGCCACCGATATCAAAGTTAGTACTAACCTAAACCCTAGCATACTCCTCTCGGTCTTCATGTTTTCTTACATGCAATGTCTGTCTTCTAAGGCTAGCATCTTTTTTAAAAATTCATCCACGTCTTTTTTTAAAATTGATATATAATATTATTTATGCATTTCCGTAATGACAACCTACTATTTTTTATAGTTCATACTTTGCTGATTGAATATTTTATCTCTTGACTTACAATAGAATTGTCGAATAAATAGAAATTAATATTTTTTAATTTTAGTTCGTGTTTTAAATGTTTTTTCTGCTTCTAGACTTTCTTCTTATGTAAATCTATTGCTTAATAATTATTTCCTTCAAAAATCTTATGAATTTTCTGAAGCGACTAGCAATCGTCCCCTCCGTAATCCTCAGATTTTGCCATATCATCTGCTTCCATCTCAAATCGTTTTTACAGAAGATGAACATTTTTTTGTCGATGTTTACAATGATAAATTTACAGGTTAGTTGAAGTTTAATTAGGACTATCCAAAAACCATATCCTATATGTATTCTTAATTTCTAACCCATTGGGTTTGGGATCGTAAAAACATCAATGGCATCCCTGTCTTTGCGGCAACTCCAGACCTAGTATTATAGCCAACTGTAATCCTAACTCTGGCGAAGCCTACTACTTGAGGGTTTCATTGCATGTCGTTCGCGATCCATGTTTTTATATGGATATAAGAACAATTAGTGGTGTTATCCACCCTACTTTCAAAGATGCATGCTCTGCATTGGGTTTAATTCATGATGATACCGAGTATGTCAAAGCTTTCTATGAGGCAAGTCAATGGGTTCCTGCTCCTCTCTCCAAATGATGTACACTGCTTTGTTACGTGCAGGTTCTATGATGAATCCTTTTCGTGTTTGGAGATCCATTCAATGTTTTTTAGTAAAAGTTTCGTCAATTCTTTGCATTGTCTTTGATTTTTTTTTCCTTAATTATCTTATTTTAACAATTTTTTTAGATTTTTTTATTGTGTTTGGATTTTAATTTATTCCCTAATGTACTTTTTAAATTTAATAACCATCAATAAAAATAACCAATTAAACAGATTTCTAATTAGTTTTTGCTAATTAATAATT